AAGAGGGTACAAATAGAACATCTAAAAGCTTAAGTAGAAACCATCAACTAATTCTAGAGAAAGATCTCCAATGGCTTTAACTTCAGCTTCAACTCCATTTGCTACTTTAATTCTTCTTTCTCCTCTTTGCAGGGTCCTCCTCATATGGAATCCCTGTAATAAATTTACAATGTGAACAGTTGCACCTGAATCAATCCACCAAGTAGATTTTACATAACATAGATACAAGGATTCATCTATGAATGTAATAAAATCCTTACCTCTCTTCAAAAGGTTCTTCAGGAAGTCTGGACAGTCCCTCTGGTAGTGTCCATGCTTCTTGCACTATTTGCACTGATCCTTTTCAACTTGAGCATTGTTGTTCTTCTGATGATGCTCAGTCTGAGGGGCTTTCCCTTGAGGTTTGGCATTCTTATTGAAATTTTTCTTCTTGTCCTTCACAAGGTTAGCAGAGTCACCCCGTAAGAATTTCAGCCTCTCCTCTTCTTGAACACACATTGCGATGAGCTTCTCTATATCCCACTTATCGGGCTGCATGTTGTAATTAATAACAAAGGTTTCATATTCCTTTGGCAAGGAAGAAAAAACCAAATGAATCAGGAACTCATCTTTGAGCCCCAAATCCATTAGCTTCAGCTTTGAAGCCGTGTTGCTCATCTTCAGTATATGCTCTCTGATACCGCCACCAGTATATTTTTCATTGAACAATTTCTTGATCAAGGTACTGGCATAAGCCTTTGAAGAGCCAGTGAACTGACTCTCCACCTTCTTAAGATACTCCGTGGTGGTATCACAATCTAGGATAGACCCCCTTATAGCATCTGAGATAGTCGACTTGGCCACCATCAAGCACTTGTGGTTCGAGATGTCCCATTTCTTCAGATCAAGATCATATTTCATTCTAACGTCTGCATGATCTCGCTTTCGAGCATTGAAATCAGCATCAGTCTCATTTTCTGCCCTCACCGGGTCCTCTGGCTCAGTAGGACACGGAGAGGTAAGTGCTAAGTCATTCTCGGATAGTGCAAGTGCGAGCTCATACTTCTCTCGCCATACTCTGTAATTGCCCTCTTCAAGAGGCGGAATATGCGAGATAAAAGACATTGGGTTGAGTCCAGAAAAATAGTGTAAGAGAAAGTGAGAAAACATAACAAAATAATTGCATGCCTTAATTTAACGTTGGTCAAAATTAAAACATACAACTTCTTCTACATTAATTCTATATCACCGTTGGACAGAAAATAGAATTAATGCATAAACACATAAATCAAACATTTATAATATTGTTATCAACAACTTTGGTCAGAAAATAGAAAAATCATAAATTTACTGAAAATTATAACTACTCCTTAAAATTAAATCCTCCCATTGGTTCGGATTTAATTAGAATATCATAAACATCATCATTCATAGCGGAAACATGAAAAATACTTTATCTACTTTTCAGAAGCATTTTACTAAAGTCATCTACTCTCTAAAAAAATTATTCCGTTGGTTCAAATTTTGACAGAGATTTAATCATCAAAACTTAACATTATTCATGAAAAAAGGGCTTCTGAAAATCATAAAAGAAAAAAGAAAAATGATATTGTGCATTGAAGCCCAACAACACGCTGCAGCCTACACAGGCCTGTAAGCAATTTGGTAAACCCAACTCACGCGCATAGCACTCCCCTTGAGCCCACAACACAGGCCTGGGCTAGGATTTTGACTTCCCGCCTAGGCCGTTTTTGGTCTAGTGATCGGTGACCGTCGGATCTCATCCGCGCCAGCGTCCGGAGATACAAAGACCGATGGGCCCCGAAAACCCTAGCCATTCGCATTTTCCCTTTCTCTCTCTTCACCGCGCCCTCTCTTCTCCTCAACATATCATCCGATAGAGAATGGAAGCGTGAGCCATTTTGGTCCTTTTCGTGAAAGGTCCTTGTGTGGTTTTGAATTGACCAACCTATGATCTCATCCGTTTATGTGAGTTACACGCGATTAGTCCATCGGACATACAAAATATGCCATGAAGGTGAAAATGGCTTGGAGATATTGCAAAGCTCACACATGTGATGATGAAGGAGCTTAAATGCACATGAGACATGACATTGAGTCATGTGATCAAGGTGGAGAAGATCCAAGACTTGGCTTGATGGACCCGATTCAAGCGTGAAGGGCAAGTCGAGGCTTTGGAGTGATGGACTCTGAAGCTCAAGACTTGGCGTCGATGGACGATGGCAATGGTGAAGAGTAAGTGAAGTCAAGATCGATGAACTAATATGATCATGTGATTATATGAAGTGGATCATATCATTGTTGATCGTGTTGGTGCATGTGTTGCATCGACGTTGGAGAAGATGGAATGGAATGCACAAGGCAAAGGTATAACCTAGGGCATTTCATTTCACCGCTCATAGGTGTGTAGAGAAGTTTATGATTTGGTTTTACCCAGATGGCCATACTATCTCTAGATCTAGTGCCACTCGGTGATCTAACTTTACATCGTCGCTAGGGTCGAGTGTGGCGGGTCCCCTTTAGAAAATGATTGTGAAAATGCTAACACACATACATGGTGGTGTACACTTGGTGGGGTTGGCACATTTACAAAGGAGATGAAGTTGGAGTTGATGTGGATCAACTCGGTGAAGAAATAGAGGCGAAGGAGAAACTCCACCGATGGAGTGTCCGTCCGTCAGTAGAAGTCTTGAACGGACGGTCCGTCTGTGAGTGGACCGTGGCCTTACAAATTCTGACGTCCCAGTCGATGATGGCGACAACAGCGTCTGGCTAAGCGGCTTGAAGAGCGCTGGTGTGTCGCGTCCGGTCGAGTGACAGGCGGCGCAAGAAGTGAGCCGGACGAAGACGGTGCTTCTTAGGTACCTTCAGAAACGACCGGACGCTAGGGGTTGTTGCGTCCGGTCGATTCATCTTGGCATCCGATCGTCGAGGATCTAGTGAACAGCGTTTGAAAGAGGACACATTCCCATCACACGGCGGGAGCCGAGGTCAAACGTCCGGTCAATCGATTCAACCCACGCATCCCGAGTTTTGCCGGTGAAGGGGTAACGATTTGCCCATGGGGTTATAAATAGGCCATGGTCACGCGGGCCAGTGAGGAAGAGTCTTGGTGGCTAGTGTAGTAGTCCTTGGGAGCCTCCATCTCACACATACGATCATCCGATTTCTGAGGGCGATTAAGGTTAGGAGGTTGCATCGGTTTGATGTTCGAGTCGGCCGGTTTGCTTTTCTCTTGGAGGTTGTCACCTCCTAGATAAGAAATGGTTGTCATCTCCTTCTAATTGATTCTTCTTTGTCTACCCCAAATCCTAGATCTAGTTGAGCGTGTCATTAGGCTTGCGGTGCCCGATACCATTGATAGAACCACCAAGGATCAACTAGGCATAGATCTAGTAAGTACAACCTTTTCTATTCATGATAAAAGCTATAGATCATCCTTGTATACAGTTGAAGAAATAGAGCTAATGTAGAGAGAGTAGAGGGTGGCGGTTTGTGTATGACATCATTGAGTTTCTTCGACTAAGTCGCTCTCTAATTTGGTAGGGCCTTTTATTGGCAGGTGAGCTAGGTGGCTTTGTGCTTTTGTTACCATGGTTGATGGTGTTCGGATCTTGCTGGAGTGGTGGTGAGCTCTAGCGCGTTGAGGTATCCTTAGAAGGTGCTAGAGAACATAAATAGAGGGGTGTAGTGAATAGTTTTAATTCAAGACTTGTTTTAGGTTGACATAGCGATTAATTTTAGAAAGTATTCACCCCCCTCTAGTCCGTCATCTCGGTGAAGTGGTCCAATGGAGCTTCCCATCCCACATGGGCTACGCGCACCCACAACCCTAGATCTATCGGGGGTCCCCCTCATCTGAAGGGTTCTTGTGATGGTGACCTCGGTCGGCTCACGCGCAAGAAGCAGTGGCGTGGCTCGCTTCATGGTGAGCCTCATGAAGAGATTCCACCGGCCCCCTCCCCTTCTCTGTTTCTATTAGGGTTAGGGTTTGAAGTGTGATCGGTGGCTCACCAACCATGTGTCATTCCTTCTAATTGATTCGCCCACCCCAAATCGATCTATGCATGGATCGATACCATTGATAGGGATCCCAATTGGTAGGTACAACCTTTCTATTCGTTAAAAGGGCCAATTGAAGAAATAGAGTAATAGAGATCATCTAACATGGGCATCTGGCGGACGACTTCCCATCCATGGTTGATGGCGTTCCGGCTGTGTGATGATGTGGCTAAGATAGTGGCATAGGTACCACTTGTCGATGGCTTCCGATATGATAGATCCGCCACCTCACGGTGAACCTCGGAAGAGAGCCCGTCCTTTTTATAAGCCTTGTGTGAGGGCCCACCAACCATGGTGCCCATGATGAGTAGCCAAGGTCCTAATTGGTCCAAGCTCTTAAGACCCCAACAACAAGCGAGGGATTTTTCCCCATGCCGCCAATGCTCACATGTGATGGGAGAGAGAGCATGTGTGTATCAGTTGGATACTTGTTGTTTTAGTGTAGGCTAAGATGCATCAACAAGGAAGAGGGCTAAATATGTGTTGGGGTGGAGAGAACAGATGGGGTACAAAAGGACTCTCATGACTCGTGAGTTGGACTCGGAGGGCTAAGGCTAGGATTTGGTCTTTAGACTTATTCATATCGCCTTTAGAGTTTACACCAAAACAAAATCCTAAGTCATCAATGGTTGTCCAGCAGAGAATTCCTGGCCAAACAAGATCCACACCCATCGGTGGCACCTAGAGCCATAGGCACGAGAGGAGCAGGAGCTAAAGCAAAGTGGCTACCGCCAGCAAAAGGCAGGAGCGCCAAAAATTTTATGGTTTAGAGAGATACCTGAATAAGCAATGGACCAATCCCACTAACAAACAACAAAAATATTTGTTTTCCTTTTTTTGCCATAATGGTTGTGTTGTGGTTGCCATGACCTCTAGGATGCGCACGATGTGGGGTGGCGCACACGGCCCATGCTATCAGTCTCGTGCATGATTTGCTACTACACGGCGCCTAACTTGGATAGGTGATCCTTGTCCATGATCTTGATGGCCACCTCCTCCCTAGTGCCCACATTGCGCGTGTGGTACACCTTGGCGAAGGTGCCCTTGCCGAGCAACCTACCGAGCTCATAACGCCCCAACAGCAGGCGAGGGGTTTTCCCCATGCCGCCAATGCTCACCGGTGATGGGAGAGAGAGCCTATGTGTATCATATGGATTCTTGTTTTTTTGGTAGGCTAAGATGGATCGGGAAGGAAGCGGGTTAAATATGTTGGGGTGGAGTGGGGAGGTGGGGTATAGGAACAGGACTCTCATGACTCATGAGTCGGACCCCAGAGGGTTAAGGTTGGGATTTGGTCTTTAGACCTATTCGAATCATGTTTAGTGTTTACACCAAAATGGAATCCTAAGTCATTAACGGCTGCCCGATAGAGAGTCTATGGCCGAACGATATCCACACCAGTTGGCGGCACCCGAGCTACTGTAGGCATAATAGGAGGAGGCACTAAAGCGGATGGCCACCGCTAGCGGTAGAAGACAGGAGCGCCGAATGATTTCATGGTTCGGAGAGAGACGTGAATAAGCAATGGACCAATCTCAAAGCTAGAAGGAAGAAAAATATTTGTTTTCCTATTTTTTCTGGCTATAATGGTTGAGTATGTGGGTAGATCCGGTGGGCTACATGGGTACGGTGTGGCATACCCTAGGCCTAGCCCAATAAACAAACAAGTCTTATGTTAAAAAAGAAAAAAAAAACAATGTGTCTCCATTCCAGCTCCCACACCTACTCGGCGACTTGCGATGCGCCTCCAAGCAACGACTCTCGCACTCGTGATCTCCCACCGCTTGGCCCTAGTGCTAGTGGACCCTGCCCTTGCCCTAGAGGCTAGCCCCAGCCCCAGCCCTACCTCGGCTGTGGGCTCCTGCTTCTTGGCTGGCCGGCACTAGCCCCCAGCGGCCCAACCTAGTAACCATCAAACCCCTCTGCTCTCCCCTGCATTCTCTTCCTCTTAGTGTTACCAAGTTTTCCTCAAATCCCTAGTCCTAGCTTTCCTTTACTATGATCTAATTTGTTAGCTAGTTGTCATTAGATTTTTCCTTGATTTAGTTCAACTGATGCATTTTATAGATGTATGCAGTAGGAATTATGGATGTGTCGGGGTCATGATACCCGGTATCTCAAGGCACCGATTAGTTAGTCACTCCAGCAGCCTAGCTAGCCAAGGCCCAATAACTATGGCCCACTCAAGCCATATAGGCCTCGAGCAGGATGACAAGTCACACTATCCACACGACCTCTCCCTTCTCCTTCCACTGCACTCCATGCAACAACGCTCGACCTCTCCTCTGTCTTGACCCTTGGAAAAGGTGGGGAGAGGCTGGACACCTCCAAGTACACCTACCCTCATAGAGACAGGCACGCTCCACTTGCTCCGCCAGGACGGATATGACAACCACCTCTCGGGGCATGGGATCCTAGGGCAGAACATCATTCCTGCGCACCCCTGCACAAACAAGACAACAATGTGGGGTAGTGATGACTAGTATAGCACCGCACCATCCAAGTCTAGCCTAGACAAGATGGGTGTACAACCCCACCCACTATGGGATGGGTTGCACAACCCTGACCTTGACTTCCAAGATCAAACAGACCACCGAGACCCCGACCTAGCCATCTAGGGTCAGAGCCCCTGCCATCACGATTTGAGAAGATGACATGTGACTTGGAGGTGGCTACCTACTCCCACACTATCGCCACGATGCCACTAGGAGAATAGGAGATGATGACAAAGGCCACGATAGGACCACATCGCGTAGGATAGTTGGTGAACCACCACCATGCCAACAGTGTTGTCACGACCAGCACTATAGCATCACACCACACCATGTCGTGACGTGGGAGCAAGACCATGACGATGGCTAAACTAGAACATGCAAAGATGCCAGGACAAGACAGGCCTACTTGCAAGCCAAGTTTACTTGCTTCTCCCTCCCTCGGGCTCATGACCACTCTGTCAAGAGAACCCCTCTCTCTATATGTAACCTGGCCCCCGAACTCTATATAAGGGTGGCCAGGCCTCTCTTCTAGGGGGACAAACTCTTGAGAATTCATTCAGGCATTCATTCACCTCACTCCTCCTACCTCTTTTCCCTTAGCTTACACATCCGATTGTAAGACTTCAGAGCACTTGAACCAGAGGAACACGAACTCGAACCACCTCTGAGACTAGACGTAGGGCTCTGGCCTAAACCAGTATAATTCCTTGTGTCTTTGAGTGCTACCATCGTCTTCCTAGAGCAGTGCGACACACATATAAATTCACTAGTCGGTTTACAAAATGCCAACATGATGTATTGTTTGATTACTTATGCATTATGAGATTTTGGTTGTTGGATTTGTGAACTATGAAGAGGGATTGAGACAGTGCATCTATGTTCCGAAAGCACACTGCTAGGAAACGTGCTTCAACTTCATCTCCTATGGTGGAAGAGCAAAATCAAGAGCAAGAGAGACTACTTGAAGAAGTTGTTGGTCTTACTCCTACACCATCTACTCCGTCTTTTGAACCCATTGAAGATGTGTTGTCACAACCACCACCATCGCCGCCATCGGGTTTCGATGTCGATCACCTTCCACATGATATAGGTGAAAGGTTGCCAACTGCAAGTTATCATGCTAATGATCAAGATGCAATTAGAAGAGCATATATTCTTAGTTGTGTACCAAATTATAGGGCAGTTTTATGAAACTTCAAAGAATTGCTAAATGGATTTTATTGGTTTGCATATGAAAAATTTTGGTTCAGCATACCCCATGCAAAAATCCTAGCTCCGCCACTGCTAGTGTCCATAACCTCATGGATGCGCACGACGTGGGGTTGGTGCACCCAGTGCATGATATCAATCTCGCACATGATCTACTATGGCACGTCGCCTAACTTGGATAGGTGTTCCTTGTCCATGATCTTGATAGCCACCACCTCCTCGGTGCCCACGTTGCACCTATGGTATGCCTTGGAGAAAGTGCCCTTGCCGAGTAGTCTATCAAGCTTGTAATGCCCCAACAGCAGGCGAGGGATTTTCCCCATGCCACAAATGCCCACCGGCGACGTGAGAGAGAGCCTATGTGTATTAGCTGGACTCTTGTTGTTTTAGGGCGGACTAAGATGCATCAGGAAGAAAGGGGCTTAAATGTGTGGGGTGGATAGGGGAGATGAGGTACAGGAATGAGACTCTCGTGACTCATGAGTCGGACTTGGATGGTTAAGGTTGGGATTTGGTCTTTAGATAGGAAGTCTATAAACAGAGAAACAAAAATAGTTTCCATATTCACGGAGTTAGAGGGCCATACCAAAAAATGGGAAGAAATTTGGGAAATATAGATATAGATATAGATATAGATATAGATATAGATATAGATATAGATATAGATATAGATATAACGGATAATGATAGGATGAGGATGTCCGTTCGTCCAGACGTGTTGTCTCAAAAAACTCCCCACATGTGGTTGTCCGCTCGTCCACTCTCGCCTCTCGTTGCGCGTCCCATTTTGTGCCGCGCTGCGTCCACTCCACGATGTCGTGCTGCCATCCCTTGAGGTGCCTCCATCCCCCGTCGTGCCCCTGTCCGGTGCATCACCACCGCCATCCCCCACGGTGCCCTCATCCCCCACGGTGCCTTCATCCCTCAGTGCGCCATGCCATGTCCCATCCTCCGCCATGCACAGGCCGGACGGCCAGGAGAGGGCATCATCGCTAGCCGGGCCTATGCCAAATACAGACGTAGCTAGCCAATGCCAGGTCGCGCCACCATCCTCGGCCATAGGCTGGCCTGAACCGGTTGTTCCCTCGCTCTGCGCTGCGTCATACGGAAGAAGAAGAAGAGTGAAAAACGCATATTGCAAGCCAATGTTTTAGGTGTTTCATGGATGTTGCAAAAGTAGATTGGATGTTCCATATGTTTCAATGGTTGTACATGTATGTTGCAAGTTTCTGTACCCAATGTTTCATCGGTTTTTTCAGACGTATGTTGCAAGTGTGTTTATTTAGATGTTGCATATGTTTCACACATATGTTGCAAGTGTTTTATCTGGATGTTGTGTATGTTTGACAATGGTCTTCAGGTGTTTTTGCCAAGTTTTTTAGATGCATGTTTCAAGTGTTTCATCTAGATGTTTTAAAAGTAGATCGGTGTTGCATCCCCCTCCTCGCCTTCTACTACCTTGCCTCGGTGTCTCCTCCTCCCGGTGCCGATTGGGCATCCAAACCAGAGGTGTAGGTGGGTGCCGACCCCTCCCTCTCTTCTCAATGTTGGTGACATTTGAGGTGGTGCGGTCCCTACGTGGGGCATGCGAAAGTGAGTGCGGGGGTGGGCATCCGGACACTAGCACTGTCCGATTTTTAGAGCAAGTATAATAAGGTCCAGTTAATAGGATGAAGGTGCTTCACCTTAAAATCTAAGCTGAGGGAAGAGAAGAGATGAGAGAGAATGAAGCGGGCTACTGGTGAAGTGCCAGGCTGAATGCAGAAATTGAGAAAACAATCGCTAACTTGCAGCCCACAGCGAGCGCAACCGTCGGCATTTTTGAAATGATCCCGATTTTCCATAAAGGGAAAATCCATAGATATGAATAATGTGATAATCCAAGAAAGACCAAGCTATCACATTATCATTATTCAGCTGATATCATAGTCATACATCGCGGAATTACAAGATTACAAGGCATTACAACACTGGGTAACACACCTAATTACAACATTAAACTAGCGGAACGCACACAAATCAGCATCAGAGTTGACGTAGCACATCGACGGGTGAAGGCTCCTCCTTCATGGGCAATCATTAGAGTCGGCGTAGAATGTCAGCGGGCATAGTCTTTATCTTTTCAACCAAACTTGAGCATAGGAACGAGACCACCTAATCCTAATCCTTCAATCTCCATTGTCGTCATCGCAGATGACATCCAAAACCTACCAAATATCTTTCAGTACGATTTGTACTGGCCACTGGCTCCCACCCTATTCTTTGCATATGCTTTGTGGTAAGTGGAATGCAAGGGTAGAGCAAAAAGGCCTATTTATGGCTGTAGGTTTCCTATGCAAGTTCATCAATATTTTTTAATAGTTCATCAAGTTTTAAACCATCTCATCCACACATTCACC